CGTGTTGATGTAATATAAAGTTACTTTTCAATCCTAATAATCCGGGAACAACCATTAACTCCCTCTGTCTGCTTGCATTAACCACACTGCACATGATATTCTGAGCATTATGCATTCACCCAGAACAGGATATTGCCTTATTCGTAATTATCCCTTTGAAATCCGCACTTTCCTGGATGTAAATGCCTACCCCGGCTCAATAACAAAATTGTGGCGTACACCTGAGAACGGTTTAACTTGCCAAGACCCTGAGGAAAATTCCCAGTGTCCCCGCTTTAATTGCAATATTACATAAACAGGTGCAGGCGGTATGAAAGCAACTGTAAGGAACTCTCTTCATATTCAGCACCGGGAAGCTACAACACCCTATAAATGCAGACAGCTCATCGTGTTTGCTTAAAGCTAGTATAGGAGCAGTTTGGGTTTGTTTGATTGGCACTTGTCCAAAAAAAAGCAGAGGAAATTATCTCTTTTTTTTCTGTTCTAGGTGTTGGAGGGATTTTACTACTCGTAATAAAATATGGCTTTTTTAAATTATTTATTTAGCTTTTCAAACATAATTACACCTAATCAGTGTTTAGTATAATTCTATAGCGTGCTGACAAAGGGCCACAGAGGAACAGAGTCGGTCTTTATTAGCCTCACGCAGGCCTACCATCTTTGTTTCTGCCCGTGATGCAACGGTGCTCCATCTGCACAGAGGCGTTGGAGCAGTTGGCAGCAAATGCACTGTCCATGGTACTGAATTTCATTGGTTCTAGACACATACAGTACATGACAACCGTTGGTTACAACTGTGGTTAAGGGTTTTGGATGTCTAAGTCTATTCCTGGCATTTCCTGCTCCGTCTTTTTGGAACAAGCATTTTAGAAAAAAGGATTTATTTTGAATTTACTGTGAGGCCAGCTCCGTTCGACTGTGTTCAGAGGGAGCATGTCTGTTGTATAACGCTATATCCCAGAAACTGCATTTCAGGAATTCTGTGCCAAAGTGGGTTAATCTAAAGCAATTAGAGGGCTGAAAAATTTCTCTACAGAGTCTTGGGAGAAGATCAAAATGTTTCTGCATTGATAGTGGTGCTAGCTCCTGGTGTAGGAAACAAAACAACTATCGCTCTGCACGTCTAGCTGGCACATGCTTGGATAATACTGTGATCTAATTAGGACATCTTCAACATCTGTTGAGGTTCTGGCACCTTTATTTGAATGTACGATGTTTAAATATTCTACTATGAGGCCTCGGGCTGTTCTTGAAGCTAGCATTTTTGGGTGAAGAACTTTCAATAAAAGGAAATTATCATCTGGGAAAAAAAGGGGAAATCTTGTTGTAATGGATAACTAAATTAATTAATGGAAAAAAAGTTAAGATGACCAGGCGACATATTCAATATACATGAATATAGGATCATAATACCTCGGCAAGACTAAACATACTCACACTATGCTGTATGTATATTTGCATTTGTGGTAAAATAATATATAATGTGCAGAAGAATAAACCTATTGACATGTGTTGTTCTTATTGTTGTTATTCTTCTCTTTCTTTGTATTCTTATTATTAACTTTATTGTTGTTGTTGTCGTCGTCAATACAAATAAGAACAATACCCGTCACTACCCACCACTTCTCAACAACATGCAATTCAATATTTGCAAACATATCTGTGAGGATGCCGCCCCGATGCTGCGTCACCACGCAAACCTTCCCCGCAGCCCTAATCCCAAAGTAATGTAAAATACGCTCATGTTTTAAACATGCCCTCAACTATTAACGTCTCGCACTCAAACCGGCGCTCACAGAGACAAACGTATCGGAGCACGAGCACACCGTCTGTTCTGCAGCTTTCACATCAGATCTTTTGATCACTCTGTTGAATATTGACTCAGATTTTTACCCAACAATAGATCGGTGAGGAAACTGTCTCTAAATGACTTCTGGGAGAGAGTTGGGAGGAAAGAGAATCAAGCTCATGTTTCAGACAGTTGCACAGCAGAAAAAAAAATAAAGAAATAAATAGAAAGTGTTACTAGAAAATGCTGATTATATTTCATGTGCTCATAATCCGTGAACATGCAAGCTGTAACTTTCAGACATAATATCTAGAAATTTAGTGCAAACCCAGACACCTGACCATATTCCAAATGAGAAGCCATTGTCGAGAGTAGCATAGTTAATTAAAGCGAGGGCACCACTCTACATCTGTCACATCACTTGGCAGTTACTTTAATTATATATTTTGGTCAATCTGTTCTTCCTGATTTGAGAGGGGATGCCATACATGAGACAACATCTGCTGAGGTATGTCACATGAGCTTCAGCATCTGTCCGTGTTTTTTGTGTCAATCACTTGAGTCATGTCTGATGCGCGTTTATGTTATCGCATCGAGAAAGCCGCATGCACAATGCTGTCGGCCGCTGATGGCTTGCATCTGTGCCGCGCTTACAATTAACACTGTTTCACTAAGCAGCAAATCTACACACAAAAACGCAGAGATTGGCACTACACACAAATACCCAGACACACCCTGTGGCTTGCAGTCATTTTGGTCCCTTATGTTGTCCATCAAGGAGACAGTGGTGACTGTTCTCTAAACTGACTCCACCCACAAAGGCTTGTGATCACCTAAGCTGTCAGCTAGCATCTGCTGAAACTACCAACCAGCCAACTGTGAGACTGGCTCTGAAGATATCTCCGCCGAAAATGTGTCACCTACACATGTTCAGAACTCGGCAGAATGTTTTCCCCCCGTCTATTTTTACTAATTTTTATGTGGCAAACGTTATCTGCAAAGCCTCGGAGAGTGTCAAACTGTTTTGTATGTATGACACTGCGGTGTGTGAAGTGTCTTGAAAGCTCACGTCAACGCATCTCAGATGAAAATAAATTGTATACATCAATGTCAAATGTTTTCCCTGCAAAAAAAAAAAAAAAGGGCCATCCTTTGAATACCGCCACGGCTATTGTTAGATCTCGCTGTTCACACATATATATCACTTATCACTCAGTGAGGTTCAGCGGTATCAGTTATGTCAGGTTGTTAATCACGCCCCCTGCGTTTGTTAATGTTTGCGATGGGATGCCCTTGTATTAGGCTGTCTCTGGAGTCGGAGATTCTTTGAAGTTATACAGATTTTTACCTCTTACTGACACTGGATGTTTTTTTTTTCTTGATGCTAAATGAAAGTTTAGTGCGTTATTTCCTGACAGAAAGCGAGATCCATTTCAATACCTCAAGCTTCGCCGTCTAACTGGTGGGATGGAGACATCTGGACACTTTCCTCTATTACGCAGAATGTTATACTATTTAAGGATAATGGTAGTCCGCCTTATCCTCTCCTGCACACACACACAAATACACATTTGTACTTGTCTAGTCCAAGACGCACATTCCCACAGTTGCAGATGACACAGAAACCTAGAGACACACTAGCTTTCTATCCCTAGACTCTACAATTTTTCTGTTCGTAATCCCCTCTGAGTCTATTAATATTTCTGTTTCCATGGCGATTCGAGCCTTGCCAAATGTTGTACAGATAAGAGGAGATAAGAGCATAAGGAGCAGGGAGATAAGAGCAAGTGACCTGCAGAGATCAGAGCACTAGAGGTCAGGCAGTAGAGCACAAGTAAGTAACTGAGAAATGGACCTTCCCCGCTCAACTCCACTGACAAGCTGGAAACTAAACATGACGGGCCACCTACGATATTCGGCAGCGCGACTACGACTGACCGTAGATTTTCTTGCAGCAACTTTCTTTGTGCATCCAATTTCACCTTCTTACACGGGAGCCAAACAAACAGCGAGACGGCGTGTCACTGGAGTTAATACTATGCTTTTGTCCGTATCGTAGAAGGACGCTGATTGAGGCACAGTTCCTACTAGGGTTAGATTGTGGTGCCGTTTTTATATTGCTTCAACTCTTAAGCTCTTGTTTGATGTTTATCACTGTGCATTTATCAGCAGTAATTATTATAATACTCACAATATGCTAAGGTTAGGTGGCCCTGCCTCTCTGTAAAGCATGAAAGACACAGGGTTCAATTATTTTTTAGGGGCTTTACTTGCCTTTTTTCCCCCTTTACATCTTTTAATTTTTACACTTTTCGAACACATGATTGGATTATGTTGCAGGTGCCGGCTGGAAAATCCACTTTCACTCAACTGCAACCTGGAATAACCTGCAAAATAATCTAAAGCTTGACTCATTTTATCTTCAGGGCAATTTAAGTTTATTTCACTTGCAGCTGTTCTTGTTTAAGTTGATTCATCGGCTTTAAAATTTAATTACCGTCATTATTCTTAATGTTTTTAATATTTCACTCATTTGCCTTTTCACCATTTTTTTTAATCATCATTTTCATCCGTGTTTCCTGACTGTATGTTTACATCCTTTGCTTGTTTTCTTCCTGGCCTATATTGTAAATGAGGCTGAATATAAATAAATGTTGAATGAGAAATAACTGATACTATATTGCATCAGTTCATTATTCCAAAAGCATATTCATATCGTCCGTGTCAGTCGAGATTTTTTATTTTTTTTCTAGAATTTAAGAGAGAGTCATTTCATTTTTAAACAACTTATGTATATTTCAAATTGAAGCAGGCATTTGGTCTCTCCTTAATCTGTCATCTCACATTATGTACAGTTCTGCAGAGAATGAAAATGAAAATAAAAAAGGAGTGGCAGTAACAAATCTGCAATAAATTTTTAAGCATCATTTTACATTTTTACAATGCAAGACTGATCCCGCGATGACAACAAATGCCCTTCACATTATTCAAATTGTCTTCGAAGTAAATCAGAGCAAATTACTGTCGCTGGCAACACAGTGCTAAATGAGAGTTGTTCAGTCTATGAGAAGTTTTAAAACTGCTGCACGCAATAATAATAAGTTCTAAAATTGAATTATGCCTTTTTAAAACACACAAACAATGCAGCACACCAATCATCCACTCCTCAGATAGGCCGTCTACACTACAGTTGCATTCTGTAAGACTTTACCTGCTTGTTGTTGTACTTCGGTTGGCTGGTCTTGTAGCTGTAATCGGAGTACTGGTCTGAGCCGGTAGAGTTGTCGTCTCCTCCCGTCCCTACAAAGGTGTTGGCTGCCGGCAGGTCCTGGACGGCCTGGTGCTTCTGAGAGGCTGAGGGGGATTGGGCTTGCAGCTGAATGGAGGGTAAAGGGGAGTTTGAGCGGTAGTGCCTGCCTATGTCAGGGCTTCCTGGTGAATATGTTAGGGGGAGGTGTATCCTGGGGCTATCATTGACTCCATCGAGGTTGAACTTGAGACTTTTTTGAAGGCTGACCTCTTCCTCTTCCCCGAGAGGTTTTGGGGACTTCTGGGGTTTGCCTTTCCTTCCTCGTTTGCCTTTGGCATTCTTTGGTGCCTGCTTGGGCGCGTATAAGTCCTTTGTTTCCTTTTTGCCAGCCTGATAGCCACTCTTAGTTTCTCTCTGGATGCGGTGTCGAATAAATACCACCACCAAGATTAACATTACGACGCCTGCCACACCAGCGAGGCTTCCAAACAAAATGTTACTGCGCTGTGCAGCAAAACCATTGTCAGGATCACCAGCGATGTCCCTGTCCAGTGGAGTGTAAAGACTGTGTCCAACTAAGGCTTCCACTAAGCTGACATTTGAAATGGTTTCATTGACATAGATGTGAACAAGGGCAGTGGCGTGGCGCGCAGGCTTGCCCCTGTCACTCACTCGCACCACCAGACGATGTAGTCCACCATGTTTGCGGGTCATCTCCTTTGCCAGGGTGATCTCCCCGCTGGAGGGGGAGATGCGAAATAACTGATAAGGGTTACCACCAGCGATACTGAAGACCAGCTCTGCATTAGGCCCACTGTCCAGGTCTTCAGCTTCCACGACCTCAACATGACTATCTGGGGAAGCAAGTGGTGACAAACGCCTGAAGGAGGAGTTGGAGGGCTTAGTGATCACAGGGTCGTTGTCATTTTCATCCAGCACATTGATGGTAACGCCCACATATGAAGACCTGGGTGGTTCTCCTCCATCCACTGCCTTTAGACGGAACGTGTAGCTGCTTTCTTTCTCCCTGTCAAATGAGATGCTGGAGAGGATGGTGCCAGATCCATTTTGAACAACAAACTTGCCTCCATCGGGTTCCACAGAGAGGTGAACATGAGCGTTCTCACCTTTGTCCATATCAAGGACTGTCACCATACCAACTGGACTGAGGGGAGGCATGTTCTCCAAAACTGAAAAGCTGTAGCCGCTTAGCATGAACTTGGGGTCGTTGTCATTGCGGTCAAGGACTTTTATGACGACAGTTGCTGTTCCTTTATGAACACGAGACCCTTTATCTGCCGCAGTGACCCGAAACTCATACCGTTCTTTATGTTCACGATCAAGCGGGCTTCGGGCTCTTACTTCGCCTGTGTTCGGGTCAATCTCGAACAAACCTTTGATGGATGAGTCGGCCACAATATTATAGAGGAGTTCGGCGTTAGTGCCGCTGTCGGCATCGGAGGCTGTAACGTCCAAAACCTTCTCCCCTGGTTGGTTTTCTTCGGCAAAATCAACTTCAAACAAGGTCGGTGAGAATATCGGAGAGTTATCGTTGACATCAGTCACCTGCACCTTTAAAGCGTTTGTGCTGGAGAGCGCCGGGTTTCCAGAATCCACAGCCACAATTTCGACTCGATAATCCCTAACTCTTTCGTAGTCGAGCGGAGTGGTGGTCTGTAGGAAATACTTCCTCTTGTTGTCGCTGGAGGAGTCGCTGGCAGGACGGAGCTGGAAGGGTACGTCTCCTGCTACCACACAAGTGACCACCGCATTCTCTCCTTCATCTTTGTCAGACACTTGTACCAAAGCAACAGCTGTTCCCACTGGCATGTCCTCTGAAATATTAGCCACTCCTTCACTGTGAGTAACAAGACCAATTCCACGGATCTCCACAGCTGGTGCGTTGTCATTTTGGTCAGTCACCTCAATGGTTACAAATGTCTTGGAGCTTTTAGGTTGAGGACCCTTATCCCTCGCCACCACATAGAAGGACAAGCTGCTGATTTCCTCCCTGTCCAGAGGCCCTTTGACATAGATAATGCCACTGGATCGATCAATTCGTAAGAGCTTCGGCACCGGGTCTACTGCTTGGTGAAGGGTGTACTCAATCTCTCCATTAGGGCCCATGTCAGAGTCATTGGCTTTGACCTACAATCAAAACATATTCTTCGGTTAAAGACATGAATTACGTGCAACATTTTGGGATTCTAATTAAAAGGAAACCAGCGTAGGACTTTCTGCACTAATCATTAGTTACTGGATGAGTGAATACACGGATCAATGGAAGTCTGATCACTTCAAAGCTCAGCATGTGAACAACTTTATTTAGGCATATTTCAATACCGCCTTTCCTCTCTGCTTTTGATGGTTATGTCATTTGCCTTTTTATTTTTCCTCTCTTTTATTTCCCTTTCTAGGTTCCCATGAAAACATATGTTAAAATATTAGGGCAGCTATTTCTTTTATGAAAGTCAGTGCAATTTCACAGCAGTATGCTGAGAAAATCCTACACAGAGCATCTTACGCCTACAGTCTGACATTGTGCATCTCTAACTCTTGTTTCCACCAGTATAATAGCACAACAAAGGCAATAAGCAGCTTAATTACCTGTGCTAATGCTCTAATACTTGTAGTATTATTTTAAAACATACCCACTAGAACAATAGGAGTGAAGGAAGCTTGCACGAGACTCGTTTAAAGAAATATTGTATATGTGGCCTTGGTTTCCCAAATATTTTGAATTAGACGTCACATTTCGAACATTCAGGGTTGTAATTTTTAATGACAACGGCAAATTAAAAAATGTCTATCTTTAAAATTAATTTACACACTCACGCTACACTTTGTGAGGATGTATAAAAATAATGCAAGACATAATTTTCCTCAAACATATCTTGATAAACTGGTTGATAACGCTTGCAGCTGAAATAAAATCCAAATGTCCAAACAATTCATCATCCTGCTCACAAAAACGTTATTTAATTCTGCAACCATTTATTTGATTTAAAACAAGTTCTATGAGATAAGAATAGTATTACAGTCTTACCTGCAACACTGAGTGCCCCACTGGACTATTTTCAGACACTTCAGCTTCGTACGTAGACTTCTCAAACTTGGGGGAGTTATCGTTTGCATCTGTCACTACCACTCTCAGCAAAGCACTGCTGTAGCGCTGAGGGTTCCCTCCATCCACTGCCTTGATGGTGAGGTCATAGGAATCCTTCAATTCACGATCTAGATTGCCCAGGACAATGAGCTGCGGGAGCTTCCCTCCCCTGTCATCAGCCACTTGTAAACCAAACAAGGTTGCTGCGTCTGGCCCTGCAGTGAGCGCATAGTCAGCCACGCCGTTCCTGTCTGAGTCCCTGTCTGTCGCCAGAGGGATGGAGAATAATGCCCCCATGATGGTGTTCTCAGGGACAGAGATGGTGAGCACAGAAGAGGGAAATTGTGGGGTGTTGTCATTGATGTCCTGAACTTCAATGCGTCCTTCAATGAGTCGTGGGCTCTGGTTTTGTATCAGGTCTGTCACCGATACTTCAAATTCCAGGTAGCAGGGTTTACCCTTAGCGAGAGACCGGCAGTCCCTCAGGGTCTCCCTGTCTATGGGAATCTCAGTGGTGAAAATGTCTCCGGTCTTTCCATCGACACGAAGGTAAGGGGCACCCACCTCTAGCTTGTAGAGGTGACCCGAGTCTGGCAGTCCCTGGTCTGCTGCCAGGCTACCAATGAGAGTGTTGGGAGGCTGCTCCTCTTGGACCCGGTACAGGATGCTGCCTTCAGCAGAGCCACAGAGCAGCACCACGACCCAAAACAGTACTACTCGGAAATTCAGTTCCATTAGGTCATCAGAAGGTCTGCCTGTAAAATAACACAGAGAATCAGGGTCAAAACGCTGTTTCCTATAGAAGCCACTTATTCTGCTGCAATGCTCGTCCCTGCTGCAAAGTTCCAGAGGCAACAATTGCTTAACATTCATTTTAAAGGAAAATCCCAGAACACATAGTAAAACATTTATTCAGCACAATAAAAAAAATAAAAATAAAATCCTTGTATTGTTGTATTATAGCTCTACAGCTGTGATATGAATTATTTTTGTCAATAAGTTGTACCAAAACCCAGAGCAGGCCTAGAAGCACAACACCATAATTAGGCAACAACAAAGAGAGGAGAGGAATTTCTTTCTTTTTCTTTTTTTTTTTTTTTGAGAAAAATATGCAATCATAAGTATATCCCAGCTTGGTTCCCATTCCAGAGCTTCAAGAGTTTCAATGAATATCTCAGATTTATGAATTTTATGTAGAAATTAATGTAGGAACAAGAAATTATATCTTATGAGCTTACACACAAAACAAACTTGAGGGCCGGTGTGGATTGTTTCGGCTGAGTAATCAAATAAAAATGTAATACAAAATCTCACAGCCTAAGAGACTCATTATTTCTGTATTACACTACTCGACATTGAGTGGGGAAGCAATGTAGCTCTAAAATAACCTATGGTATAAAACATACCCTCAAGAATAAATCCATACCATCCTGCCAAAATATCGTCTGTTGAGAGAGATGAACTGTTTGATCTATTTGTTTATCAGAGAGGCCCTCTAACAACAGGGGTTTGCATTCTGAGGGTCACGGAGGCTAATTCCTCTCGTGCGGATTACGCAACTTTGCCAGCATCACCGCATGCAGACTATGAACAATGCACAATGTAGAAATTTCCATCCACGCTCCATTGCTACTGGCTAGCTCAAACACTGTAATCATTATGTTTGATTTTGAACCTTTCAACTCTGTAATTACGACCCATTATTTTACTGTCTTCTTTGATCTGTATTCCCTGCAGCTAAAGATTTCTGGCTTTTTTTTTTTTTTTTCCATGCTGCAATGATTTTCGACTATAATTATTTCCTCGGTATGTGTGTGCTATTGGTAATTGAAATGGGAGCAAACACTGAGGTTAAGGATTACGGTCCAGCGCTTTGGAAAACTTCACGGTAGCCACATTTTTAAACTTTTTTTTTTTAATTTCGTGCAAAGCGGCGCCTCGGTTGAGCGTTGACTCACTAATCATGCAGCGCTCACTTTGATGCTTTTAGTGCAGAATCTTGTGTACAAAGTCTATTGAGCTGGGTTTGTGTTAGTGATGTACTACTTCAATATACTAATCGATACCGGCCCTTATGCCTCAGGTATTAGTCAGACCGGTCCATATTAAATACTGTTTCTTAGCCTCTGTCTAAACAATACAGAACCAATGCAATTTTCTTCACCGTTTTTTATCACAAAAAGTGATTTGCAGGTGAATCATTATGTTACCTCAAACGAGTGACTCCGATCAATTCTACACAGATTTCTAAACAGAAAAACAACAACCAGGAAAAAAAAAAGCTACCATAGGTGCTGAATCTGGAATGGGTCTACAGCCAGAGTTTAAGTACTGGAGAAAGAACAAGCCTAATCAACACACCCGTAGTTGGTATGGGCGAAGGCGGATAGAAATCTGCATAAATGCAACTAAATAGTGTTATTCGGAGAGGAATTGGCACATTGTGCATCTGCTGGAATGAAACAATGCTCCAGAAGAAGAGTAAGGCAAATGTGTATTAAGCCAGACAGCAAAACACAAATATACAGAAATCCAATGGAAAAATCCAATTCCTTTTGAATACATTAAAATTGGAAGTGCAGGTTATTGATGCACTAATTGCTCGGTTATCGATGTGTCCCTTTTTACATTTGCAGGGGGAACCTCTAGTCAATGTGGCGTGAACAGTGAATGCGCTTTCTGTGTGTTCATGTGTGCAAGAGAGAGAAAAGAGAAAAAAAAAAAAAGGCAGGCAGAAGTAAAAACATAATCAGCAGAAACAGCGCGAAAGCCGTTTCTTCACACCTAAGACTGATGCTGCAGCATTATCATTTGTGATATAATTCAAAAGTGATTCACAATCCGATGCTTCATATTGCTATCACTCATTCAGCTAAACTTGCCTAAAGGTTTATAAAGAAATGTAGATGCATATATATATAGCCAGTTAAACTACGTCACTGTCATTCTAACACCATAATTATTCTCGTCTCACCCTGTGGCACAGAGGTCCAACAATATGTGCATCGGCCTACTTGACATGCATCTTTTTTCATCCGTTATGAATTCAAGCCTGCACAATGATTTCTACAAAAGGGCCATGAAAAAATTAAAAATCATAACTGATTTCATAATGTTTTGTTTAGCTGTGACTGCCCCCCCCCCACCCCATCCCTCCCTCCACCATTACAGCCACTTCTAGAATGAATAGGCGTGCTTTGATAGTGACATGATTGTTATGGTTGATGACACTCATGACTTAATGTCTTCCAGTTGGCCTCATGCCTGTCTTCCAGATGGCACCGTGCCTGGCAGCCCAGTGGATTGGCGTTCCTTTTTTTTTTTTTTTTCTTTGTTTACATTGCCATTAAAATTCATGTTGTTCGTGAAATATGCGTTCTGCCATCACTCAGTGAGAATCTCTTATCAGCTGAATATTATTGACACCATGCCTTTGGGTTTTTTTCTTTTTTTTTTTATCTCGCATTCCTCAGCCTTCGCACAAATATTTTATCAAAAGCTTGAAGGAATCAAGTTTCTTTTCCCTCCGCGTCTCAAACCGCTGCATTGTGGCGGCAAAGGGAGGAACTAGTGCTGAGATTTTTCACTCCAGGAGAATGTGACACTTCTTGGACTGCTGTGCGTCTCACCAAAAGTTCACTACCTGAGCAGCAAAACGGAGAAATTAGAACTGCTGAACACAACTAGGTGTGACATTTCCGGCATCTCAGCACTTTTTCTCTGAAAAACTTGGTTATCATCTGCCATCCCAGATGGTGTGGTAGACCCACAAGACTACGAGCTGATTCAGGCAGATCGCGATACATGACTCAGCATGAAATCAAAGGGAGGAACAAGAAACCCCTTTTTTTTTTTTCTTCTTTTTGGGATAATGAAGTCCTAATCAACTGCTCTCCAATTAAACTGTTTACTTAGTGGATTCCATAATTAAGAACTTGTCTTCTTTAAGGACTGATTTCTACAATCAAAATGCCAGTAAGTGGGATATACAGAATATTCACCAAGTGTGCGGCTCAGAAAATGAAATCTATTAAAACTTCTACTGTCAACATCGGAGCAGCACTGTGGTATCGAGCTAAAAAAAAAAAAAAGAGAGAATCACTGCAGAAACTTTTTTTCATTTGTCCACTGAACAACCCATTATAAGTAGAAAATCGCAAAGCTACTTTTTGGAAGCTTGCACCACAGGACAACTTAAACCTGGCTAATGCTTGGTTGACCCCTACTGTAGTACAAGTTGTGTAAGTGCACTACACACTGTATTTCCCCCACGCAGGACTATTAAGGCTCTTCAAGGCCTAGAGGGCTCCAAGTGTAATTCCCGTTTGCTGCAAAAAGCATCCTGCTCAGATAGACAAACCAACACACATATTGAGCCAGACACCTTATGGAGGTGATCCAAGGCAGCAGATATTGTGAAGAAAATATCCCTCCAAATACAATCAAGGCATCAACTGTCTGACTGAGGAGAGAACTTTAACTCTACCATTGAAGCAGCACTCGGCACACAGCCTCATGCTGTGATCATGCACTGGTCCAGATGGTTCCAACATAGAGAAAAACTGAAGGCAGCCTGTACCACAGTATGGAGGTGGACCTTCAAAGACAGTCTCAAACTGCCTGATGGGTTTGCTGTCTGCCGTTGTGAAGATGTTTAACTTCGCAACAGAGAATGCGGTCGAGGCAAAACCGCTCGCCGATGGAGTTTAAGACCCTGAGGAACATCGGAGTAGGCTCGCCACTCAGCAAGAACACTGCCTGGCCTAAACCCAGCTTATTAAGGTCACCAGGGGTGCCAAGTGTAAGCGCAAGACCAGACTAAAGAGTCAGCGCTTCATGACTCATGCTCAGCGTGGCCATCGTTCCAAAGACTCACGATTTGCTGGAGGAAGCTCACCCGAGCATACCCCCTTCACCTGCGACCGACCTCTGCGGATAAGACTGGCGGTAAGAGAAAAGGAAAAAGTGTTTTCTCACTCACGCCCTCACTGTGTCACCTGGGAGTCTGTTGTCCCTTATGTTGCACTAAAATGTACTGCAGAAGCGTGGTGATTGATATTGGACCACATGACTTCTGACCTCGTGCTAAAACTGTTCTTAGCAAGGTACTGCTATTGAAAGGAGACAAAAGAGTCCAAAAATATAAGCGTTAGATGATGTTGTATGAAACTAGTTCTGAAACCACTCGCATACCTTAATCCCCAAATCCCCTTCTTCCTGTTAATACAACTATATAGGGTTTAATAATTAAAGAAAAGTGGATTTGCTCAAAAACAAAACATGCAAAAGAGGAGACAAAACATGCTGCATTCACAATCAGACCACTGGAATAGTTGCAACAACTTCAAAAGAAATAGAAGACTTGAATTCCAACAATGGATGCAGGATAGGGGGTTGTCTCCCAACAATGTGGCGCCCTTCCACACTCCGTCTGATCTCTCCTTTTTACCTCATGGATCTACCCATTTTCCTCCGCTGCCATTCCAAATGATAGTGAACTCACAAATTCCTCCTAGCAACTGCCTACAATCCTCTATCCACCCCGCTCCCCAACCCCCCCACAACCCCCTCTCCCTCTCCTCTAGTCCCTAAAGGCTCAGTGCCCAGTGCCGGTGCTGCCGCTCAGCTCCTTACAGAGGAGAAGGTGAAAGACTTCACTGGCAGCTAAACATCAGTCAAACTACAAGGTCTGATTGAGTCTCACACCGAGCCCTCACACAGTGCACCACCCAGCTGACCCCACTGCTCAAGAGAA